TTGAAAAAGTAACTCAGATATTCTCTTGTAAATTAAAAAGTAATGCGTTACTTTACTAGTTACTTGAAAAAAGTAATCTGATTACGTAACTCGTGTTACTTGTAATGCGTTACCCCCAACACTGGTCATAAAAACAAAAAAGATCTCATTCATTTAACCTTTTCACCTTTCTTCTTTACTGCCAGTTTCGCTGCCATTCTTTAATGCAGACAGAATATTACACTATAAATAGCCATGTAATGGTTAGCGCTAATTGCCATGTCCTCTGGGAAGACTTTAAAATGGTCCTAATTATCAGTGTAACACACTTGCCATGTATTCAGACAAGAGTCACACTATTCAAATGCTCAAGCAGGGAGTTATCTGCATACATATTATTGGTTATTGTATGTTCTTTTAAATTAAATATTTTTTGATGAATCAGTCGATCTATTAAAATATGTCTAATGATCTGTGAATCAATGAATCAATTCAGAATGATTTGTTATGTACCAGTACAAATGCATAATTTATTTTTCCTTTTGTGTCCCAGAGAGGAAAAAAGGTCATGCGGGGTTTGAAACGACACAAGGGTGAGTAAATGATGCCGTTTTCATTTTGGTGTGAAAATTGAAATAGTAAATAGAAATAGTATTTATATGTAATAGTAAATTGAAATAGTATTTATAAATGTATAAATAATATTTAAGCTAAACGAATTATGGCAGTTTTGGGACATGGGAGAAAAAAAAACATTTTAAATGTCATTTTTTATCTCACAATTCTGACTCTTTTTCTCACTATTCTGAGTTTATATCTCACAATTCTGACTTTTTCTGAATTGCGAAATATAAACTCACAAATTTTAGTTGTGAGATATAGATTCCCAAGAGAGAAGAAAAGTCAGAATTATAAGATAAAGTCACAATTACCTTTTTTATTTTTTTATTATGTGGTGAGGGGAAAAAAACAGAATTGCGAATTTAGAATTTAAAGAAAAAAAAGTCAGAATTGCGAGATGTAAACTCAGAATTCAGAGGAAAAAAATTTCAGAATTGTGAGATAAAAAGATGCTATTATCTTTATTTTTAGTCCGTGACAGAAATAATAACAATAATAAAAAAAAAAAAAAGAAGATATAAGAAAACAGCAAGATGTAACTCCAGAACTAGTTGCTTTAAATAGTTCATTTTTGTGTAAACTCTATGGACATTTGTGGCATGCTATTGATTATTACAGACAGTAAAACAGGAAACACATTTACGGTAATGCACTTACAACAGAAAACCACAATGATGTGGTCTGAATGCTTTTATTATGTTTATCGATGGTCTGTGGCACAAATTGTCCAAATTTCATTGTGTTAAATGCTACTGATAAGCTGCACTAAAGCTTTCTGAACTGAGCTGGTATGAAGCAAACACAGAGGTCACTCAGCAGAGGCATAAATATTTTGTCAGAATAGCTGCAGGGAATGGGAATCAGCACATTCCACCCACAATGATGGCTACAATGCAAACAAGCAAGAAGCAGAAGCAAATCCCAGCTTTTTGTGAGCAGAGTATTACAGGTAGCATGCTGCCTGCTGAAAGAGATTGCATCCATGCTTTAAAGCTCAGAGATGACATGACTTCGGTTTATGATAAAAAGAGGCTTTGTGATTGCAGTGCGCTTATGCAGTTACAACAACATACAAATGACAGATTTGCTGGTTATGATCTATGATATAGGAACTGGGATATTAATACAATCTGTTGTTTATACTTTCCTTTCCTGCATGCAGTTCCATAATGTCCTACTCTATAGAGTCTTTATCTCTACTGGCACATTACGTGATATATGATATTCCTACATTTCTTATAATGCACTTTAACTGCATTAATGTGTCAATATTGTAAGGGAATGGACAGTTTATAACTTGATATGAGTGGAGTATCATGATATGTGATATTCAAAGCTATTTAAAGTTCACATGTGTGTCATTTAGGCATGCGCTATTGGATTTTAAACTTTAACCTGTCACTTCTGGCCAAAATATGAGTCCATAGTAATGGATCCTTCATTGAAAAAGTGACATATTTGTTTAGAACAGCTTTCGACTGTTTTGTTTGTAAACGGTGCTAGATCTGTGCATATTTCTCTCCTGATTCAGAAGAGACAACTTTTTCACTGAAAAAAGCAATATTATGGATGAAGGATAAAGGCCAGAAGTGACAGTTTGAAGTTTAAAACAATGGACTGGAGTCATGTTGTGGATTATTGTGATGTTTTTATCAGCTGTTGGGACTCTCATTCTGACGGCACCCATTCACTGCAGAGGATCCATTTCTGAGCAAGTGATGCAATGCTGAGTCTCTTCCAATCTGTTCTGATTAAGAACAAATTCATTTGGATGAGTAAAGAAGGTGAATACATTTTCAGAATATTTTAATTTTGGGGGAACTATTCCTTTCACAATGTCTTTTTTTATTTAATTAGTCGATACCTGATATTCTTTTAATTGCAGGAAATAAACTGTTATATTTACATTAAAAATAATTTAAAATTATTTATTTTCTTTGTTGCCAGAGTTGCTCTGATAAAGAAAAATATAAATAAATATAATAAAGAAAAAGAAAATAAAACAAAAATAAAGAAAAACCCTTCAATTCTACCATATTTAAAACCTTTGATTTCATTAATATGTTTATTTATATATTTTTTTTAAATCTCAACTTTTGTAACAGGGTTGCAAAAATTGCAAACCTCGTCTAAAAGACATCACATATAAAATTTAGTTTTGTTCTGAGGTGCACAAACAACATTTTGTACAAAATTAGACTTTCTGTTCCCTTATTTTTAAGAGTTTCATTTTGCACACAGTTTCTGTAAAGCGCCTGTTGTTGTTTGTTTACCGAATTCTAGGTGCCACTGACACGGTTACTCATCCCAATACTGATGCAATCCGTGTCATTCTGATCCAGCGGTCCACTTGTTAAAAGACCGTGCGTGTGCTTGTTTGTGAGCAATTGTGGGCGCAATTGTGCTCACGCTCCAGTTTCGTGTGTGTTTCTGTGGATATAGCCTTCATCTCATCTGTATTCCGCACTGACATTCCTGCAGGGGTTACTTCCTGCTGCAAAGGGTGAGAATGGAGCACCCTCACCTGCCGCTAACAAGCCGCATTCAAGAATAAATCACTTAAGCAGCACTGAAAGGAAGGTTGGCCTAAGGGCCTGTTTTATTTATTTGGTCTCATTTGTGACTCATCTCACTGGTTGATCATGGTGAATATTAAAGAGAACAGCAGTTCAGACAGAGGACAGAGAATCTAAAAGGTAATGAACAGGTGCAAACGAGACGTTGGTTGATGCAGGAAGTCCCTTGAAGGAGCACATCGAAGCATTTAATGTGCATTGAAATTCTTCACACTGGGAAAATAGCTTTGGATGTGTTTAAGTAAATCTGTTAATGCGGAGAGTGAGGTATAGAGTGTCCGTAGGGAACGGCTGGGAATTTGGTTAGCATATACTCAATATGCACAGACAAGACATTAAATTAGACAGAGAGACTCTCATTAATTAAACCTCTTTTTCTCGTACAGATATTCATTTAAGTTAACATGCTGGATTGCCAGAAAACCTCCCTTAATTATAGCTTGAAGCATATGCTTGGTGCTGGTTTCTGCTGCCTGCGTTCTCCACAGCACATGGAAGAAATATTCATTCATTTCAAGGATGAGATGCACTCACAAACAAATAATAAACATTTATGGAAAAGATCATGTTTATGTACTTGGTAAGAAACAGTCTATCTATCTATCGATAAACTTTATGGTGCATAAGAGTATATATACTTATAAGTATTAGAGGCATCAGGCCTGCAGGGTTCCTGCTCATTTTTAGATTAATTGTCAAGTGCTCAGGAGGCACAATCATCCAGAAAACTCACTGAGATCAACAGAGAGATATAATCATCTAACCAAATTAAGAACTTTCCCCTCCAGGATAGCATGAAATATTGAATGCATACAGATTTATGTTAAACTTTTTGAGCGGTTATTTGCATTCTTTGAAAGCTTGCAGGCATGTTTTTTGTTTTTTATTTCTTCTTATACAAACATTTGGTGATATGGGAAACACAGAATCCCAAATCATTTTGCATAATTGAAAAAAAAATGCGTAGAAATTATGTATTGTCTCTTTCATTGCTTTAATTATTCAGAAATGATAGCATTTGTATTCATACACCATTTTTTCTAATTAAATGCAGCGATACTTTCCTGTTTAGACAAATTTTGATTTAAAGATAACTTTTTTATGTCTGCTTTTGTCACTGTCTGCTGTCAATGGGCTCCTATTATGCTCAGTGCATAGAGAGCCTTGAAATAATGCATTTATTGAGAATTAAATTTAATGGGTAAAACAATTTGTTGCAATCATTTTTAAAAGAAATTTGTTTTCTTATGAGAGGCTAACGTTTAAGAGGCACTGAGAACACCGCACATTTCTACAGGGAACGCTTGCCCCCTGGCGTTTAAATTGAGAAGTACATTTCTGTTTCTACTTGTGGGAAACGATAATGTACAATTTATGGAACGCACACCTGGAGATTTATTAAACTTTTAAAGATCAAAAACATCAAAGCGCATGTTATAAATTAGCATTAGTGTTAGCTTGTATTCTGGGAGTTTTGTAAACAATTTGCAGATAACATTCGCCTGGGCGGAACTCGATTCGTTATGTTTCAACACGGTAACAAACCAGTCGCACAAGAAGGCAACATGTCAAGTTTAGTTTCTTTTTAGCATTTCGTATGTTCTTTTAATTATTAAAACAGCACAGCACAATATAACTGTAGTGTTACGTCAACTTGTCCCTGTTTGCTGTTTGTGTGTGTGTGTGTGTGTGTGTTGCGCTTTAGCAGTAGTGTCTTGATTCGAGTTTGGAGATTAGCTCGAAAATTACAGCTGTGATAGATTATTAATCATGTCTAAAGCTGCAGTTCCTCTTCGAATTCTCTGTATTCATGGTTATCGACAGAATGGGAGCTCTTTTCGAGAGAAAACAGGAGCATTACGCAAAATATTAAAGAAACAAGTGGAGCTGGTGTATATTAGTGCACCACACCACGTTCCTGCAATTCAGAACCAAAGTGAGTTTAAAACCGATAATGTTTGCTATACCTCAAAACCTTGTGGGTTGCCTAGTATCATAAGTACATTCAAACTTATAACCCTATTTCATACATTAGTGTCATTTGTGACCCTGGACCACAAAACCAATCAAAAGGGTAAATTTTGTGAAATTGATATTTATACATCATATGAAAGCTGAATAAATTAGTATTTCATTGACGTATGGTTTGTTAGGATAGGACCATATTTGACAGAGATACAACTATTTGAAAATCTGGAATCTGAGAGTGCAAAAAAAATCAAAATATTGAGAAAATCACCTTTAAAACCAATGCATATTACTAATCAATAATTAAAATTGATATAGGCCTATTTACGGTAAGAAATTAACAAAATATCTTCATGGAACATAATCTTTACTTAATATCCTAATGATTTTTGGCATAAAAGAAAAATCTATAATTTTGACCCGTACAATGTATTGTTGGCTATTTCTACAAATATACCCATGCTACCAACTGGTTTTGTGGTCCAGGGTCACATTTTTGAGTCTTTCACTCTGATGATCTTATTACTTTTTCAATGCAATCAGCCAATCAGGAGCCTGAGAAGACAGCCAGTGGTGGTGATGAGGATGTGAGAGCAGCCTGGGTCTGGAAGAGAGTGTAGAGACTGTGAAAACTGCAGTGAAGGATCTTGGCCCCTTCGATGGCATCCTGGGCTTTAGTCAAGGTGCCGCCCTGGTGGCTATGCTGTGTGCCCTGCAAGAACAAAAGCTAGAGCCTGCTTTTAATTTCCGCTTTGCCATCCTGGTCGCCGGATTCCGCAGTGTCTGTTCCCAGCATCGGCGCTTTTACGAAGTGCCGGCGATAACAATCCCCTCTCTGCATGTGTTTGGACAGGAAGACCGTGTAATTCTAGAGGAGATGAGCCGAGATCTGCTGCCAGCGTTTGATGGAGCTCAAATCCTCATTCATCCCGGTGGACTCTTTGTTCCAGCGGCATCTTCGCACAGGCAGACATACCAAGACTTCCTCAAGAAGTTTCAGTGAGATGATAAAAGAGTATCTGAGAGTTCCTGGAATAAATCAGGTCTACATTAAATGTACCACTTGAAATATTGCTACATTATAAAAGCCTTGGAAATTGAACGGTCAATAAAAAGATGTTTTACACTGTTCTCAGGGAAATGGTTACTTGAATAAAGACTTTCACAAGTTTGCAGTGTGGAGACTATTTGAAGAATATTTTGGGGTTCAAAACAAGCTAGGCTCTGTAGCATGGTGTTGTTTGCCAAAGAAAATAATATTCATTAAATACCTACCTATTCTATTTCTATTCTAACTACTCTCTGTTCTATTTCTATTCTAATTACTTGTTTTTCTTTTTTTATTAAAAAAAAAATGACCCTAGAGTTGTCTGTTCTTTTTCTATTCTATTTACTTGTTTTCTTTTCATTTATTATGAAAAATGTCCCTCTAACATTCTCTATTCTTTTTCTATTCTTTTGACTTTTCTTTTTATTTATTTAAAACAAAATTGACACTCTAACACTAGCGTACTCTATTCTTTTTATATTCTTTCGACTTTTCTTATTATTATTTTTTTTAAATGACCCTCTAACGCTAGCGTTCGCCATTATATTCCTATTCTATCTACTTGTTTACTTTTTATTTATTTTATTTTTTTTAAACTGCAACTGCATTAGACTAACCAAGACTTGTCACAGCACTTGCATATTATTGCTCTTTTGTTGGTTATTATAGCTTCTATTGTCCTCATTTGTAAGTCGCTTTAGATAAAAACATCTGCTAAATGTAAATGTAATATAAGATTATATATTTAATATTACATTGAATATAATATATTTCTCCTTGGAGTTTATTAAATAGAATTGTAAAAAAAATAATTACAGAATTGCCTTAAGTACAAAGTTTTTTAACCTTTAGACAAAAAAAAAGTTGAAAGTTCGTGCTTTTATTGCTTAGATAGTATAATATAGGTGAGTATGGAGCTTATACTTGAAAACATCTTTTATTATTCAGAGGCCCAAAATGAGCAAACAATATGCAATTTGATGCAGTTGCTGATATTTATATGGCCAAAATAATGTTGAAGTTCTAATAGCTTGTAATGTAAATAAATAATATTTTTATAACAGCATAAGCAGACTCATGGGCGTTTCTAGGCCACTTTTAGGGCGTTTTCTAAAAATTTTGCGATCAGCTCCATAAACTGTACTTGAATTCGTGATCGCCTCAGTCCCCTTTAAAGGGGTCATATGATGCTGTTTATTTTATGATGCTGATTATTTTGTGTATTTGGTGTAATGAAATGTGTTTATGCGGTTTAAGGTTAAAAAAACACATTATTTTCCACATACTGTACATTATTGTTTCTCCTCTATGCCCCGCCTTTCTGAAACGCATCGA